ATTTGAGGCATGTTGTCTCTGCGACTAGCCCGGACTATCATAGTGAGTGATGCAGATCATGTTTCGGGTATGTTGCGCCAAGCAAGCCATTGTCGTGGCCCTCAGGTTTGTCGCTTTGAAGTTTGGGAACCGGATATTCTTTGAGACGGGCCTGCTCAACAAAAAAGTCCCGTGGAAGAACAACAAGGTGGCATTCGACCAATGGAAAGGTGAGTTCTACGACCGTGGACCGCAGTACTGTAGATGAACGTTGCCTGCCAACTCGGCGCGGTTGCGGTTTCATTCCAGGCGCCTGGCCGGGTAGTGGATCACTCAGGAAGCAGAGCGAATGCCCAGCCGCGTCTGTCCGCGATCAATACCCTGCTCTGCCTCGCTTTCGCTCCGCTGCTGACGGCAATCATCGATATGTCGATCCGTCAAAGGCTTCGACCCTCTGGCTGCGGCTTGTGTGCTGTCCGCAGGCTTTGTGGCTGGACTTGGTGGGGTCTGGACACTTGAGCAATATGCTAACAATCGAATACTCTTGCCGACGCCCACATTTGCGCACTTGTTGTCAACCGTGACGACATTGCTGGCGTATGGAGTTTCGCGTTCCGGCTAAAAGAGCAGTTCCGGAATATTTTGATAATGGCTGCTAGAGTGCTCACATTGCCTTTGCATCGTGATGGAATAGTTGCATTAGTCCAAGTTGTCATGGTCCGGTGTGGCAAATTATCGTTTCATTTCTTATCACCCTTGGGCGTACCTCAAGTAGTGGCCCCTTGGGACGCCTGCCCTCCCCCCCCCCCCCCCCCCCCTGCCGTCTAAGGTTATTGATGTATTAAGGTGTGCGTTGCGTCGTGAACAAATCGGGCAATTACCAATCAGAGGTATAATAGAGTAACTTAGCATGACGTCAAAACATCACGTCGTTAAATATAACGTGACAACACGAACACGGCCATACCTCACAAAGAACATAAGCATGACGTCGCCCGCGATTGTGGCGTGGCTAGAGTCCCCACTTCCCCCTCCCCCACTTAGCGTGAGCCTGCGTGCGCCCCTGCCATCATATTTCCGCAGATAAACTTGGCTCCCGTTGCCTCGGGCGCGTAATTATTACATGTGGTGTGCGAGGAAGGTTAATACACGGCAGCCTAATCCATGTAGCCCATGTGCATGCATAAACGAATAGACACCTGTGGACGCCGAAATTCTAAACCGTGTCCGATTTGGTCCATTTTGAGCCCCGGCAGTCGAGGAATGACGCCCTTCTGCAATCCAAATGTTGTTTTCGTAGTAAAGGGGCCGCTAAATATGGTAGTCAGGTTTCACTGAAAGGATAGCATTGGGTGAGCAGAATACTGTGCAGAGAATTGTCTTACTGACTTCTGGCATCTCGGGGCCAGGAGGGCCGTGGCATGTCAAAACTCATCGCCACTTACCCATCACAATGTCCAAGGCCGCAAGTGGATTTTAAAACAAGTATTGTGTGACCAAATCTTCCAAAAGGTGTGCCAGAAGCCGCGCTGGAGAATATCAGCCGGCCACCCGGCTGGTCCTGTGTCCTCACCCGACTCTTTTCAACACATGTGCAAGGCGTGTTCATTAAGTGGTAAGGCCCCACATCAGAGATTGTTTTTGTGATTCTACACATGATTGCAATGGTAAAAAATGTCTAATGGCTTGTGTATGGTGATTTAGAGCGAGGCCGTAGGCCGGCTATCACTTGAACTATGATAACATTGTCAACTTGTGCCACGCTGCTCGGCCCCCATGCCACGCTGCCTTGAAGCTAATGTATTTGCAATCCCTGGATGCGAGTCCAAGCTTCTTCAGCAACGCAAAGCGCAACTCACGAAGCTTGTGATGTATGCATTTTTAGACGTATGCCTGTAAACTTGATCAGGTGGGCTTTTCTTGTAACACTTGCAATGTCACCAAGATTTGATATGCCGTCGAGGTAACGTGATAGAATAAAAAATTCAAATTACAGTGAGCATATATGTATCATACCACAGATATCTATGGCAGGAAAGTTTCTGTGTTTGGAAATAGAAATAAGGTGATCGAATGGACGTCTCTGATAGAAAAGCTTAAAAACACGCCTCGAAACCAGGCCCAGGTATGGACTTCCCGGGGCCGCATCAATTCGAGATTAGCAAAAACTAACTGAGGGAAAAACAGACGATCGTTTCCGCACAAGCGTGGGTAGGTGCGTGGAGACCAGGTCGCGCGGTCGTGCGCAAACCATGGTTCCTCCCATTTGGTAAGTTTTTTTTCTTTATCAAGGTCAGATCTTAGCAACCAGGGCAGCTGAAAGCGCGAATCGACATGTTATTGGCGAATGTACCCGCTATAACCCGCCAACGCTTTTCAAAACTGTCGAGCTCAAAGGTGTGTCAGTAAGCGAACGGAATGTTGCCTTCGAAAATCGAAAGCCACTTGGAATGCAAGACAGTGGGCATGAATTGGGAGATGTTGAGGCATCAAAACTTTGGAGAACATGTTCTTGTCGATTATGATTAATTTCAAGCCCAAACAAATTTTATTAAGTCGACCATGCACTCTCGTCGTCATTGTCAAATTCGTAAATCATGGCAAATTTATTGATGTTCCTTAAAATTGACAACCCAGGTCGAACCAGGCAGGTTTCAAGGAATTAGATTTTAGAATTGACACCCGAATGTTACATTAGGGGAAGCAAAAAATTGGCTTTCGCCACTATCCAATTTGATGTAAACAGTGGCGTGATTTCGAAGGGCGCGATTTTTGCGCTTGCATTCCTTGTCAGCTGCGCAACTCCAACTCATTTAAGCTCAGTGCGTGATGTATGCGTTTTTCCATTTATGCTGCTCCCACTACCTCAGCAAAAATGAACACGAGGGGCGTTGATGGTAACGACTTAAAGCAGCCTACAGTTTTGGCGCCATGGGCAGCGCACAATATTGTGGTCTCCGGGCATCTGTATTAGGTGCTGTGTGTTGGGTAGAGTTTAATGATGAGAAAGAAAGCAAACGCGAGCGCAACACAACGCCTGACCTGGCGATCTTTGCTCTGCGTGTTGGATTTGACCAAGTCCATTAATGGAGGATTTTCCTGACGTGAGACCATGCGGCGGTGTGAAGAGATAGGACATGTCGCGTCATATTAACGATTGTGATACTCATGTTCCTGTGCTAGTACTTCATGTATGGCAGTGATCTGCTGACGTGAATACCTGATAATCACCGTCACCAAGCTGCAATTTAACCAACGAGGGCCCATTGTTTGGTCCAAGCTGTGTGTTGGCAAGGTGTTGAACGGTGATTGGGGGGGGGGGGGGGGAAGGGGGATGGCTCTGCGCGTAAGCTAACATATTATAGCAGTCTTCTCCGGCCTTGCTCACTTAGCTGTTAGAGCTAGGCAGTTATATCTCCGCCTGGTTTTCGATGCCCAATGTTATCGACCTTGTTAATCAGGGAGGCGTGTTCGGCGCAGCCTTGATAGGCGCGTGGTGAACGGGGCCATAACTGTCACCATTTGTCTCTTCCAGTGATGCATGTGTCGTCATCTATTACATTGCGGAAGACGTGTTGCCGTTTTGAGCTGTTGGCTTGCGATGTTGCCAATGCTCGTAACTTGGCGTGGTGTCGAGCGTCCCTGAATCAAGAACTTGGCCGTTGTAAGTGACATTAACCGGGCGCCCGACTGTTTTGTTACTCAATCTGATCCACAATAAATAATCGTGAGTGTCCTTGGCTTCATTACGCGCCCGATCCACAACTGACCAGGCGCTGTCGTTCGATCGGAGCACAACAGTCACGGAGTGTAATGGTCTGCGGTGTTATGCAGAGGCGCCGATATTTGCGTATATATTTCTCCAGAACGACACGGTCGTTCATCGGAGGCCCGCAACAGAAACAGGGCTTCCACAACGGACACGGGGTGGAAACCTGCAGGGGTGCATGCCAGCTTAGCTGGTGCACTTAAACTAAGTGGGCTTCCTTCAGCGTCCTGCGGTCATGCCCATCAGCTCGCTGTAGCCGTTATTCCCGTTGTTTTTACATTGCATCGGCAGTAACGACTGCGCTGCGCGCTGTTGTTGCCGTTCCACGCGGCCCAGCAAGGATCGCGTGTTAAGACTCGGTATTGATCCCCCCTCAATGGCCCCGTCGTATGTCCTAGGGGGCGCGGAGCCATGGGCTGCCTCGTGATAGCGTCTGGCCGGTGGGGTTGGCCTGGTCCCCGTGCAGCCGCTGTTGGTGCCGACCGGACGGGCGCGGGCGGCCTGGCCGTGAACTTGATATGTTCCAGCCGAGCGCCGCTCCGTTAGATAGCGGCCGGTGGGCTGGCCGGGCCATCTGCGGAGTCTGGAGATGAAGATACCGTGTATGGATCGTATCTGAGCGGCGCCGGCGCCGTGAATGTCGTGAGTGGAGCTGTGTTGGGCATGCGCAGCATCGAAATAAACTGCTTCAAAACTGGGCCGTATCGCACACATTGATAGCCGGTCTTCGTAGTCATACGAGCAATAATCTGCTGGCTCTAGGCCGGTGCCTGTGCATTTCAGCCAGATTTGACACATCGATGTTACGTTTGTAGAAGTGTTCAATTCTGGTCATCGCCAGTGACCCCTGTCGAGTTGACAGGAAAATGAACGTTGTCGGGTTTCCCCTGGTGGGAGTCCGATTCCTTTCTCTCGCGATTCCCACTTGGAAAGGCCGTATCCAAGTGTTCGCTGTGTTGAGGCTCGGCGCCCGGCGGGCTGGCAGCTGCGGCTCGCTCTGGCCGCGTGCCGCGGCGTGGACACCGGATATCCGTCTGCATTCGCCGCCGTGGCGGTCCGGTCGCTCGACACAAGCCATGTCAGCCTATTGTGGGCCCCTCGGCGACCGGTTTATTGCACTGCGGCCGGAGCCGGGGCACCCCGCCCCGCCCCGTCCTGCCCGCCTCTCCCCGGCCGGCCGCGGCCGCACAGACCGGCCAGCTGACGCCAAGGTCGCGGCGGCGCGCCGGACAGCGGCCGGCACACCTTCCCACACGCCCTCCGGTCAGCGCCGGCACCGTGCCAGGCGCCGGGGCGGCGCTCCGGCCGGGGAGGCGCCCTCGTCGCCCGGAGCGACTGCCCGCTGCGGGGAGGAGAGGAGCGGGCCGCGCCGACCGGACATTCGCCGCGGTCGACTCCGCGCGGGGCGGCGGCGGGGCATGCCGTCAGTTCAGACACCACTCAGGATCACAGCAGAAGTGACTCGCCACTATGTGGCGCTCGCCGATCGGACGCGGCCGTCCGCCGCTGGGAGGGCGCTATTCGCACGCTACCGGGTGCCCAAACAGCCAACTGCGGGGACTAGCTCAGCTGGGGCCACCACTTTCCGCGGCGGATCCGCCGTCGGCCGCCTCCCCAGGCTGGGCGCGCCCTCAAGCCTGGAATCAGGCGAGCCGACGTCGGGACGACGTCCGCCGCCTGAGGCGTCCGCGGACGCGCCGGCGGGACTGACGCCGCTACGCCGCGCTGTAAGGCCGCGCCCGTCACAGGCGGTAGGCCAGCCAGAGGCTGCGCGTCAGGTACCCCTGGCAGTCGACCAGCAGTCGGCACGGCTGCAGCCGGTCGTCGTGCTCCTGCTCCACCAGCTGGGCGGCGGCGCCGAACGCCTGCGCCGCACTGATGTGCTCGCCGTCCGCCTCGTACTCCTCGCCGGCGGCCAGCAGCTGGCGCACCTGGGCGCGCGCCGCCACCGTCGGCAGCCGGTCGTAGAGCGGCCAGTGGAAGCGGCAGGCTGCGCAGCGGCAGCTGAAGTGGTAGCGCTCGAGCAGCGCCGCCTGGCGCTGGGCGCGCGGCGCCTCGTGGAACAGCGCCCGGTAGTTGTCCTGGAGCTCCTCGCCGGCGGCGATGGTGCGCGTTGACACCACGATCAGGTGGCGGCCGTGGTTGACGCGCGTCACGTTCGGGTCGCAGCTGTGGTTCATGAGGCTGACGGTGGCGCTGACGGCGCCGCCCAGCTCCAGCGCCTCCGGCTCGCTCTCGTCGCCCGGCTCGGGCGCCACCAGCTCGCTCAGCTGAAAGCCGTTGCAGGCGCAGCTCTCGAGGTGGCGCAGCAGCAGCGCGGCCAGCTGCAGCTGCTGCTGCTCGTCCAGCTCGGCCACGCCCAGCTCCGTCAGCTGCAGGCAGCGCAGCAGGTAGATGGCCAGCGTGCCGCGCCGGATCGCGTCCAGGATCGAGCGGAACGCGCTGTTGGGCACCTGGTCGAACACGGCCTCGTAATCAAGCCCGTCGTAGGCGGCGGCCGGGTCGACCCCGGAGACGTCGTACGTGTCGCAGCGGTCGAGGTAGGGGCGCAGGCGCGCCATGCCGGCCGTCAGCGCCGTGCGCGCCACCATCAGCGCCATGGGCGTCAGACCGCCGGCGCGGAGATGCTCCAGCACGCCGCACTCGGCCCGATGGAATCGCGTCCAGGCCGTCTGCCGGCAGCTGGCGCTGCAGAAGACGACGGCGGCGCAGCGCGTGCACGGCACGGGCGCCAGCGTGCGCCGGCAGCACGACTGGCAGTGGGTGGGCCAGCGCTCCGAGCTCAGCGCCCAGGCGTACGGCGAGTCGGTGATCAGCACCGAGCCTGCAACAAACGACAGGCAGTGCAGGCACGGGCACGCTCAGGATCCTTTGGGGCGTGATGGACTGTGGGAAGAAGGCTGCTCGGCGGATACGGAGACGCGTTTGTCCCTCCCCCAGCTAGGTTGTTAGGGAATACGTGTCGCCCTGTCTTTGTCAAACCCAATGATCATCCACAGGGTAGGTGGTCAGCCACTCCTGCACTATAGCCCAGGCACCAGGCCGCATTACCATGACACGAGAGGCGGCTCCGGTGGGCAGTGGGCGGCCGCTGGCCGGCTCGCTCACCTGGCGGGATCTCCTCGTTGGCCACCAGGCAGCGGCCTTTGCCCTCGATAAAGTCGACGTTGACCAGGGCTGAGACGCGCTTCAGCTTGTAGTGGAGACCGCCGTAGATCTTGGGCAGCCGGGCGGGCGGCGGCGCCGGGCCGGCCAGCGCGCCGCCGCCGTCGCTCAGCTCGGCCTGCAGCTCTCGGTCGTACTTGCGCCGCGTCGGCTCGGGCAGCGTGTCCATCACCTGGCGCAGGTAGGCCTCGTTGTCGGCCAGGTCGGCTGGCCGGCCGCAGGCGCGCAGCACGCGCTGTCGGCGCAGCAGCGCCGCCGTCAGCGTCTCGCCGTGGTCGCGCGGCTCGGCCTCGTCCGGGCCGGGCGTGGGCGCGTGCTGCACGGCCAGGTTGAGCAGCGCCAGCCGCTCGCCGTCAGAGGTGGCGTCGCGCTCGCGCAGCAGCCACTCGGCCGCGTCCGGCTGGCTCTTGGAGAGCCGGCCGGGGCCGCGCGGCGTCACGTCCGACATGGCCGACAGCTGCATCAGCGCCGCCAGCCGGCCGCTGCCGCTACTGGCCTCGCGCAGCTGCCGGTGCAGCAGGCTGCCCTCCTGCGTGCGCAGCTCCTCGCTGACGCGGCTGAACAGGTCGGCCATGTCGACGCCGGCCATGGCTGCTGTCTGCCGGACGGACTGGGCGTCACTGGTGTGAGGTGCCGCTGGGGCATCACGCTGTGCTCTCCTGCTTTATTTCGCCACACCTCCGCTGAAGATGTCGATAGTTCAACGCGGACAGAAATTGACTGCCTATTTTATTTGCACGGCCACCCAAAATTATTGGAAGACCTGTCGTAATGATCAAAATGGTCATGCATTCCAAATGCATTTTGATCCATTCCAGGTGCGTAGGTTGTTCAAGAGTGTCAAAGGCCAGTCCCGTAAGCTTGTTAGCTAAGGCCAGGGCTCTATAAAATCGCACAACATTTATTGATGTCCTGTGTAGTGCGCAGCAACACGTATCCACCTTGTAGTCAACAGCTTGATCACGGGCGGCACATAGTCATCGTGATGGAATCCACATTTTTGCTCAGATTAGCCCAGCGAGCATAGCTTTATCCAGGTGACGTAATCTGCCACAGGCAAGCGCGGCATCATGAAGTCGTGCTGGTGCAGGGGTTGTGATGGGAGTGGTGTTGCCTTAAGCTTTTCGCGCGAATCCATCCGCCATGACAAGGCCTGCATAACTTAAGTGGGGGACGTTGTGCATCTCCTCGAACGCTGGTGGTCCAGGAGGTCCTCTTGGTTCAAGGTATGTGCTGTTCGTCGAGGACCTGATGTTGCTTTGTGGTAATCTGGGGGTCATAACCCTTCCCCTAGATCGCTCGTCATGATCGGAGATGAGGTATTCGAAGCAAACAAGCAGCGGTGCAGCGTGCTTCAACAACCGGCCACTGCCGATGAGCTATGTGGAACGGGGAGGGTTCAAACCACATCGTCACGCGATGTGACTACCTCGGGCTTCGATCAGTGCATCCACACCGCCTGGGTCAGTGGGGAAACGTGGCCAGATCGTTGCACGACTTTATCTCGCATCCTTTGTCTGCGAGGCTCCGCCACTCAGGGACTGGGGCGGTAGATTCATGGAGATGAGTTCATGGCATTGAACTTAAGCCGTTCTAGGCTACTGCTAAGGTGACCTTCGATCTTCAGGCGTACCAACCTGAGAAACATCGTTATCTGAGGCGACTGCTCGTCAATAATCATGCGGGTGCGCTGAATATTGGTCAGCGGGTCTTCAGTTAAGGGGCGCGTGTCACGGACTTTCAGACAGACTCAGTAAATTGCATTTACATTTTTGCATTTGCGAACTCGCTGTCTGAATGTGGTAAGTTAGGAACAGCACTGTTTGTGCACAGCGGTGATTCACAAACCCATCACGAGTAGCCAATATTAGTTCCGTGGATTAGCAGAGAAGAAAGTTGTCTCGCTCTTGCCGACCCTGCAGTAGGTATAAGATATCAAGGTTAGGATTTAAATTGACGGCACCAACCTGTGCTGGCACTAAAGCATAAACTACATCGTTGCGATCTTGGCTCGTCCCGGGTCGGCACTAACTGGACTCCGCAGGAGGCGCTCTGCCGGCTGAACACGAACGTACACTCCAGCTCAGCCTGGCAGCGGGCGCTCTGGCGAAGTGGCGACCGCTCGAGGAAAACGCTCGAGTGGTCAGCTCCTTCGGCTCCCACGTGGAGGGCCCGGGTTCGATCCCGGTTCCGCCACGGCCCCCGAGCGCTAGCATGGTCACCAGTCGCTGGCGCCCCTTGAAAGGGTTCGTGATCGCGGTCCACCTAAAAAAGCGCACCCGACGGCGCGCGAAATAGTGACGCCTCGTGTCGAATGCATTGGGCAGCACATGGCCCGCCACGGGACGGGTGCTCTGGCTGTGCACGCCATGGTGCACAGCCCTGGGCACTGTCAACACACCTGGCACCTTTATTGACGGACGGATCGATCCGGCCAGGCTGTGCAGGCCGAGACAAGGCCGGGAGGTCAGACCCGCCAGCGGCAGCTGGGCCGTCCCACGGGTGAGGACGGCGCGGGTCTGTCCCGCCTGTGAGGACCTCCGTTTCGTCCAGACTATGGGTATCGTCGAGGCTCGTCTCACCTGCGACGAACGCCTGTCCGCGTCCCAAATATCATGGGCGCCACACGACCATTGCAGTCGGCGCACTCTAAAGCCCAAATCATCACCATTGTCGGGGACGCCGTCCCACTGCTATCCGCCCGTGAGGACTGCCCTGCCGTGTTCCACGTGTGAGGACTATCCGCTGTGTCCCACCTAGTGGGACCGTACTGCCATGTCTGACCCGCGAGATCCGTGTCGTCCCATCTCATTAGCGAAGACTGTCGCGTCCACCCCGACCTGTGAGGACCGTCCTCCGCGGTCCCATCGGTAAGGACCGTGCTGTCCCTCCTACCTGTGAGGACCGTGCTTCGGTGTCCCATCTGTGAGGACCTTATCCGATGTCCCACCTATGAGGACCATCCAACTGGTGAGGACCGACCTCTGATATCCTACCGGTGAGGACCGTCCGTCGGTGTCCTACTTGTGAGCACCGTCCTCTGGTGTCCCACCTTTGAGGACCGTCCTCTGGTATCCCACCTGTGAGGACCGTCCCCTGGTATCCCACCCATGAGGACCGTTCTTCAGTGTCCCATCTGTGAGGACCGTTCTCTGGTGTCCCACCTGTGAGGACTGTCCTATGGCATCCCACCGGTGAGGACCGTCCCCTGGTATCCCACCTGTGAGGACCGTGGTCCGGTGTCCCACCTGTGAGGGCCGTCTTCTGGCATCTCACCTGTGGGGACTGTCCTCTGTAATCCCACCTGTGGGGACCGTCCTCTGGTATCCCACCTGTGAGGACCGTCCTCCGGTATCCCACCTGTGAGGACCGTCCTCTGGTATCCCACCTGTGAGGACCGTCTTTTAGCGTCCCACCTGTGGGGACTGTCCTCTGGTATCCCACCTGCGAGGACCGTGGTCTGGTGTCCCACCTGCGAGGACTGTCCTCCGGTTTCCCACCTGTGAGGACTGTCCTCTGATATCCCACCTGTTAGGACCGTGGTCCGGTGTCCCACCTGTGAAGCCGGCCGTGCGGTGTCCCACCTGGCGTGTACTGGCCGCTCTCCGCCGCCCCTCCGCCGCCGAGCCGGCCGCTGCCTCGGACTGGCGGCGCCGTCAGCCGGCCGGCCGCCGCCACCTGGCGACAGACGGCCCCGCCCCCTCCGCGCCGCTGACCCCCCGACCCCAGCGGACCCCGGCGGTGAGTCCCAGACGCGGGCCGTGACGTCGGCGGACGGTCGTGACCGGCGGCGGGCAGACGCGGTCCCCTGGCCTGTCGTGAGGCACGCGTCAAGGTCGGCCGGCGGTCATCGGCCCCGTCAGCTGTCGGTCCCTGTCGGGGGTTCGGCGGGGAAGGCGTCGGTGGGCTAGCCCGGGTGAAGGGTGGTGTCTGAGGTGCTGTCTGCAGGTACGGTCAGCGTGCGCGGTTGAAGGCCACTGTTGGCGATGACTTCAGACGCGACATCGTGGTAAAGGTGCGGTGTGCAGGAGATTCCGGCCGCTGCTTGGAGTATGTATGATGTCATGGATGCAATCCACCCATGTCTGGATCAAGGCAAGGTGCCAATCATCCTGTCTGGATGCAGGGCCAGTAGACAGTGAGACAGCGATGGGCGGCAGATCATCGCGAGTGCCTGGGGGGGGGGGGGGGGGGGGGTCGCGGGCCTACATTCAGCGCGAGGCTGGCAACGCTCTCTGTGCAATGCAAGCCGATCGGCCAGATAAAAGGCTTTTTGTGCGGTGCGATGCGGACGCGGTAGTCGGGCGGCCCGTCTGACGCGTGCGACGAACGCGACGACCATTCCTCTGCCACGTGCTCCGCAGTCCTGCTCGGCCCGCCCGCCAAGCTTCGCAGCCGTCCGCCTGGGAGACCAAGGAATGTGTGAGGACTGAATTTTAATAGCGCTCGTGATGGCTTTTGACAATGGGAGGCGTGGCTGTTTCCTTGTATTAGAGAATATAAATCAGCGCATGTTGGTCGTATTATTCACGTGCCGTTCCTCGCAGCGGGTCGCCCGATTCTGCTATGCAATTCATGATATCGCTTAAATCGACTAGTTAATCCGAAGCTTTACGAACGCCGCTCCATTTCCGGCGCGCCGTAACTGCACCCTGTTCGGCGCTGTGAGCGATTCGCATGGCATCGCTCCCTCCCGGACGGCCGAGCTGTCCCCAACGGTCCCGACGACACCCGTTCCTCTGAGGGATCCGTGTGGCATCGCTCCCTCCCGGACGGCCGAGCTGTCCCCGACGGTCCCGACGACACCCGTTCCTCTGAGGGATCCGTGTGGCGCTGCTCCCTCCCGGACGGTCGAGCTGTCCCCGACGGTCCCGACGACAGCCGTCTCCCCAGCGCGACAGGGTCGCCGTCCCGCCCTGGCCGCCACATGCTGGGCCCGCTGCCAGCCGACGCCGAGATTGCAGCTCGTTACCAGCAACAATGGCACGGCGTGTTGCCGGCACAGCTGTCGCACACGTGTCGCACGCGCGTCACACGGCGCCGGCCCGGTGAGGCGATCGACGCGCGCCGCGCGCACGGCTCGGTCTCCGCTCGACGCCTGTCGCACGCGCGTCACACGGCGCCGGCCCGGTGAGGCGATCGACGCGCGCCGCGCGCGCGGCTCGGTCTCCGCTCGACGCCTGTCGCA